GAATTTTGACTCGTTGCGTTGTGGCGATGTCTCGCAGATAACACAGATAGAGATAATACATATGAAAAGTATAATTTGCTCAGAGTCCAGAGACAGTTGTGGTTCGGTCCGGATCCGGACCGGAGTCCGGACTTTGAGGATGCCTGGACTAGAGTATCTAAAGAATACACAATATACAGAAAATACTGTATACATGGAGTACATTAAACAGTCTCACTAGCTAATGTTTGCTTTCTGTGTTAACTTAGTGATAGTTAATGACACAGATAGCGTTATAACCGTGGTTCAAACAACCATTAATGTCACTTTCTATGTGAATAAAGTCATTTTAATGAAATAAAAGTGAACAAACTGTGAGCTGTAAATTAGAATGTAAGTTGCTACACAGATTATGAAGAATTATATCTAAATATTTGTATTATATTAATAATAATTTAATAATAATAACTTTTTATCGTAATGGTTAAAGTCATTTGTATGTAACGTTAATAACTATCTGACCTTTCTATAATTTTCTCCTCTGCTTAGCATCACATTGACTAAATTGATCAATTTGGAACATGTTTACGTCACAGCAGCATATATAAGACAAGGCACTGCACATAATGTGATAAAACACTAAATATAAGCAATATAAGTGTGTGTCTTTTATTCTCATTCAGGTGGAGGAAATACCTTAATTACTTTCTCTAACATTATTTATCCCACAGTATACTCATAAGTTATATGCATACCGTTTAGTTTGAGTAAACGCTCCCTTTTTACCTTCAGCATATTGTTTTAGTACGGTAACTCTTCTTTATTACCGTTAGCATACTGGTTTCTGTTAGGTAACTCCTTTATGTTACAGGATGAATCCTCAGTTTATTGACTTGTTGTTTCTAGTCTCCTCCTGACTGACAGAGTCCTGGAGCTGTGAGTTTCTCCTCTTCAGTGAAGCAGCTTTATTACTGTCTCCTATTGTCGCAGACAAAGTAGCATTACATGGAAATACTCAAGTAAAGTAAAAGTACCTCTAAATAGTACTTAAGTACAGTACTTGAGTAAATGTACTTAGTTACTTCTCACCTCTGCTATGAACCTACGAAGTAGCTGTAGATTAGTTTTGTTGTGTCTGTCGGTTGTATTGAGTTGTCTTGTTTTGTGTCAGCTGTAGTTGTGTTGATTATTTCAGAGACCCAGCCGGAGAAGGAGAGCAGCATGGAGGAGAACAAGGAGACCCCTGGAGCTCAGGTCAGTGTGCACTTCATCACAATATATTCCTAATTCCAGCGTTTCCGCCAGGCGGGCGTCTTGCCGTCATTTGACGCCCTTATTCAGCTCGGAACGCCCTGAACTCGAGCCGAGGGCGTCCAAAAGAGTTTTTATCGCTTGAAATGACGAAAAGGACAAGGACATCCCTCTGTTGGAGGGGCAAAGGAGTCTGGTGGGATTCTTTTCGCCGCTAGCAAAGCGTGTTCCTGTGACGGAAAGTGTACTGCCGGCGAGCCTTGACGGGGGGTGCTAGTGGAGCACGCGCGTGAACTGGCGAAACTGAGGCTCTGGTAAACTGTGGTAACATGAAGAGCCGTTTGGGAGCCGAAAGAGCCGGCTCTTCTTAGTGAGCCGAGCCAAATGATCCGACTCACTAAAAAGAGCCGGAATTCCCATCACTAATGCGTAAAGAGATAGTATCTATTAGGGACGGCTCAATTCAAAATTCAAGTCCAGGGTTTCCCACACATAGACTTTACTTGGGCCGCCCAGGTTTAACGGCCACCAAAGTATATTTCGCGACCCATTCATTATTATTTTGTTTGTATCCGTCCGCGAGCACGACGCCATCTGCAATCGATTTACTAGTGGACAATGATCCCTCGCTTGCTGTACCTGTTCGCTCTGCTATCGCGTGGAGGGTCTGCTAACAAGCGACCAACAGAAAAGTTCATGTTAATGTTGTTGCACCTCACAAATGCCTAACACTGTTATCCCCAAATGAAAGATCACAACCTGTTTGGAAATATACAATATGAATGCACAATATGGTTAGATATAGGTTAGAACGTTGTTGTATACGATACGATAATACTTTAATTGTCAAATCAAGTCTGAAATGTGACTTGCATCACAGCAGCTCCATGTGTAACATCAACATAGACAAATAAGACAAACACAATACATGAGAAACAAACAACAAACATGTAACATAACAGCAGGATCAGTGAGAGCTGCTCAAAGAGCCTTCAGCGTGCATCTGATCTGGATTCAGCTCTGTGTTTACTGAGAGGATTGACTTTTTTTTCTGTTCTCACGGTCATGGCCTTTCTCCATGGAGATCTTTTCTTGCCAGTCACTTCCTTTACCTTAGTTGGAGCAATGGCATCTATAACATATTTTATTTTTGAATTAAAATGATCTACTAGCTCATTTACTGAGATGTTAGCAGGGGCAAGTGTGGAAGAAACATTCTGAGTAAACATTTCCCTAGTGTTTTCAGTTAAATATCGCTTTGTGGTTACCTCTTTTTGAACATTTGTGTGAACAGAAATAGAGCTCTCGAAGGAATGATCAGAGAGTGCAACATCAGTCACCACAACCTCAGAGATATTCAGACCCTTTGATATCATTAAGTCCAGAGTGTGCCCCTTATTGTGCGTGGGCTCCGTCACATGCCGAGTCAGTCCATAGTTATCAAGAAACCAAAACAGTTCTTTAGCCCCTCTGTCCTGGGGGTTGTCAACATGGATGTTAAAATCACCAACAATGACTAGACGGTCAAAGTCAATACACACTATAGACAGCAGTTCAGTAAAGTCATCAAAAAAAGCTAAAAGAAGCTAGTAAAGAGCACAGCTGAACTCCCGCAGCCCTGGGGGGCCCCTACATTAGGCGCATTCACACCGCAGTACTTTTCCCACAAAGGTTAATCAGAACTTAGTTCATCAAAGCTCTTTAGTTCTCATGAACTAATTACAGATCGCATTCACACCGGAATAAGTCCCTGGGGGAGGATTAGGCAAATGAAGCCGCTGACGTCACTTCTTCTTCTTCTGCTTTGGGTTTACTGGCAGGCCGCAAACAACTTCACAGCGTATACTGCCGCCCGAAGTCCCCGGCCGGAAGTCCCCGGAGTTGGGGACTGGCTTCTACTGAAGCCTTCCGAGTAAATCGCCAGAACGCCGACACCTCCTCATCTCCACCGCTCCCATGTTTTCTTTTGTGTTGCCATAAATTAGTCTCTCTGCGTTTCTGCGCTGGGCTAATGCTAATAATGCTAATGCAAGGATAATAAAATGGCGGCTTCACAAAACTTTTTGGGAGTTTTACGGGGCGTGGTTTCCAATCCGCCCAGCCAATCAGACATAGGAACCTTTTTCTCCCACAAAAGTACCTGCTCTCTAGCAGGGACGGAAAACTGACGGAAAAGGGGGTAAAAAGGTTCTCATTAACTAATTTTAGTTCCGGCTCTTTTTGGTGTCAACGCGACATTTCTGAACTACATCGGAACTAAAGTGGGAAAAGTACTACGGTGTGAACGCGCGTATTGGTTGTGATGGCAGATGACAGGGTTTCTACTGGTGAGGAAAGCGGCATACCAGTAAATCAGGTATGGATTTACTTCCATTTTGGCCATTTTTGGCACCAAGATGTCTGCTCTCGGGGTGGACGCCCTCTCAGCCCTGGTCCACGTTGTTGCGCAGGTTTGTGAGAATGATGGATGGAAGTGGTGGCCGGCTGGTGTTTCTAAGCGGCTCCCGAGGGATGTCATCCAATAACGAAGAGCACAGATGGCTTGGTGTATTCGTAGGAGGCCGATCGCATTGTAGCTCTAGCATAGCCTCGCGGCTGTAGCAGCGTAGAGGCCGGGGCTCCTCGCCATACCTGTTCGTGCTGTCACTCAGGTGTGTCTTGGAAAGTTGTATGGCCAGACATGGTCTGCAGAAGGCAAATGTAATCCACAGGATCAAAAGCATGGTCTCTCAAAATGACGTTTCATAAAGACACAACAAGGTTTAGACAATAATTAGACCAAAAAAAACACAAGACGAACGGAGCATACTGAGACTCGCGGTGACAGGATGCCGTCTCCCTCTGTCTCCTGTATACCAGAGGTGGGAGTAAGTCATACATGTGCAAGTCCCAAGTTACTGGGGTGAGAGTCAAGAGAGTCAAGTCATACGAATTTACCCCAGTTTCCGCATTTAAATCAGTTAAAAGCCAGTGGTTATGAAAACTAGAGTTTTATTTTCCACATTAACAACAATGGAGAGTGGGGCTCTGAAATCATCGTGTGTGTGTGTGTGTGTGTGTGTGTGTGTGTGTGTGTGTGTGTGTGTGTGTGTGTGTGTGTGTGTGTGTGTGTGTGTGTGTGTGTGTGTGTGTGTGTGTGTGTGTGTGTGTGTGTGTGTGTGTGTGTGTGTGTGTGTGTGTGTGTGTGTGTGTGTGTGTGTGTGTGTGTGTGTGTGTGTGTGTGTGTGTGTGTGTGTGTGTGTGTGTGTGTGTGTGTGTATTCCTTCTATAAAACAGCTGATACTGTGAGAGTCACAGACATGAATACATAGGTCAAGGCAGACTGGTTCACAGACTCTCCTGTTTTGCCGATCCGGTGCTTGAACAAATAACTCTACGCCCCTACACAAGTCAAGTCTTTTTATCAATGTTAGTCAAGCAAGTCTCAAGTCAAAAAATATGCGACTCAAGTCATGTGACTCGAGTCCCCCACCTCTGGTATATACTGTGGTTAGAATGTTGCTGTATCAAATATAATACAAATATAATAAACCCAAACAGTTGATAAGTAGTATTTTGTTAACTCAAGGTTTATACTAAGTGAGTTTTTATTGTGTTAACTTGTGTATTCATGCTTTTTAGATTGACTTTTTCTCTTTCTCTGTCCGTCTGTTCTAGAAACTGAAAGGAAGAGAGAGACGTCACAGCTGTCAGCAATGTGACAAATCGTTTAGAACATCTGGAGATTTAAAGCGTCACCTGCGTATTCATACTGGAGAAAAACCGTACAGCTGTGAAGAGTGTGGGACATCTTTCACTAGATCAGGTTCTCTCAAAATACATCACCGTATTCACACTGGAGAAAAACCGTACAGCTGTGAAGAGTGTGGGACAACTTTCACTCAATCAGGTTCTCTCAAAATACATCAACATATTCACACGGGAGAAAAACCGTACTGGTGTGAAGAGTGTGGGAAAACGTTCACTACATCAGGTCATCTCAAAAGACATCAACGTATTCACACGCGAGAAAAACCGTACAGCTGTGAAGAGTGTGGGACAACTTTCACTACATCAAGTAGTCTCAAAGCACATCACCGTATTCATACGGGAGAAAAACCGTAGAGCTGTGAAGAGTGTGGGACAACTTTCACTAGATCAGGTTCTCTCAAAATACATCAACGTAGTCACACAGGAGAAAAACCGTACGGCTGTGAAGAGTGTGGGAAAACGTTCACTAGATCAGGTACTCTCAAAATACATCTTCGTGTTCACAAAGGAGAAAAACCATAGTGGTTTTAAGAGTGTGGGAAAACTATGAGAGCCAAGCTAGCTGTTTCCTCCTCCTGATGTCCTGAGAGTCTTTCTGAATTGAAGTGTCATTCAAATAAAGCTTATTTCATTCAAATGAAATAAGTGTCTTTTCTTCTGTGAGATATCTTTATGGATTTCTTTATGACTTGAGTCTGATTTTAAAAGTGGTTTAATATTTCTGAGTCTGACTCAAGCAACTTAAATGTTTGCTTTTGGGCAAAGTCATCTGAACATTGTGTACTGTGCAAGTAATGTTGCACCCTTTGTCCCTATATTTAGATAAACAAATTAATCCCCATTATTGCATTTAATAATTCATATTTCACGACACACTGGTACTGTAGCACTGACCACTTTATTGTATCAAGTGCATTCAATTGAAAACACCATAGTGTTACAGTTAAAGGTGGGGTAGGTACGTTTGAGAAACCGACTCGAGATACACTTTTTGTTATATTCCATGGAATGCTCTTAACATCCCGAAAGTAATGAATATCTTAAGTGCTTTGACAAAAAATCCATAAAAAATGTCATCTGTGGAAGCCGTAGTACTGTAAAAAGCACGACCAATCATTTTAGCCGGCCCGGCTAAAATAACTGGATGGCCTACCTGCCTGTCAGCCTTCCATCGGGGCACAAACTTATCTCGTGCCCTCATTGGTCATGTGTGCGTTCGTGTGTGTTGGAGGAGGGGCTCTGTAAGGAAGTGGCAGATTTTCTCCGGCTGTGCATTTTCAAATTCTAGCGATCTCGAGCTGGTTTCTCCAAAATTACCTACCCCACCTTTAAATGATGTACAATTATAAATACAATTATGTACATAAAAGTATTTACATATAATAAATAGATAATTAACGCCTGCAATATCAGAGAAATTAGAATGTAACAATTGCACTGATGGCTCTGTGTGTTTTTGTCACCAATATTATATTTTAGTTTGCACTGCCTCCACGGCTATGGTTATGGCATGATAAATGTAAAGCGTCTTTGGGTTCGAGAAAAGCGCTATAAAAATCCAATTTATTATTATTATGATAAGAACTGCTCTGTATTCCTAAAGTTTGACCTTTCTCGCAAAATATTAAATTGATTCAGTATAAATGATGGCAACAGCATAAACGAAGGTAAACACAGGTAAAAAAGCTCAAGTGAATACAAATCAGATGCATGAAACACATTAACTTTTGTAGATCCCAGGATTTATTTTTCATCAGCAGGTATGAATCAAATGTTAGGGTATCAATGACTTCTTGTAAACTAACATTTGTTGTTATGCAAGTCAACAACAACGAGATCTCACTCCACTGCAGACGAAGAACAGGAATGATCCAGCTATTGAACCCAGTTGGATTCTTTAGGACTTTTTCTGAGCAACCATTCACCTTCATTGATTCAGTATAAAGGATGGCAACAGCAACAACATAAACACAGGTAAAAAAGCTCAAGTGGATACAAATCAGATGTACAATTATGTACAGGGAGGCTGTGGCGCAGTGCGTTGGTGTTGGGATCAGGGGAGCACAGGTTCAAACCCCACTGCAGTCAGCATGTCGTTGTGTCCCTGGGCAAGACACTTCACCCCACAGTATTGAGTATGTAAGTCGCTTTGGATGAAAGCGTCTAACAAGTAACATGTAATGTAATGTACATAAAAGTATTTACACTTTTTACATTAATGACGTACATATGAATGAAAACTATTTACAATATACATCAAATATAAAAGTCGACATGAAATATAAACCACCCCAAATTGCTCCTGTGGGGATTGCCCACAGTATTGAGTATGTAAGTCGCTTTGGATAACAAGTAACATGTAATGTAATGTACATACAACTATTTACATTAATAACGTACATATATTTACAATATACATAATAAATATAAAACTCAACATGAAAAATAAAAATGATATTGATGAATTGAAAAACATTTAAATTACTATTTACAATATTTACATAGCAACAGGTCATTGCTCCAACTCGTCAACAACAGCTGTAAAATGTTGGTAACTGTTGTAGACTGTGTTCTCCAGACCCTTTGATGGAGACATCCTCTTCACAGGGCAGAAGACTTTGCGCCTGTACTTTTTGTGCCCCTGGGTGGGTTGGCCACAGCACGTGCACGACGGCAGCTTTTGAACCCGGGACACTTTGGCTCCTACTCCCGAGGGCTCGTCCATCCCCTTGCGCTTGTAAAGCGTGGACCTTGCCCAGGATGAGGGAATGCACTCAAGAGTAGTGGGGACAGACACATCAGCAGACGGGGTTGCCTGAATGGCAGGCAGTAAGGGCATTGAGGAGGGGCCAGCAATGGCTGGGGTTGGCTGACTGGCAGACAGGATGGGGCCAGGGAAAAGGGAGGGCACAGGTCTGGCGATGGTACTGGTGGCAGGCAGTATGGGACGTCCAGCAATGGCAGGCACGATGGGCCTCGTGGAAGGGCCAGCAATCGCCCGGGTTGCTGTGGATGGAGAGGGGGAGGGCAAAGGTCTGGGGGCTGGGGTGGGTGGCCGTGGCAGTGACACAGGTGGAAGTGATGTCTGAGGGTGTGAGAGAGGCATGATCATGTCCCTCCTTCCCTTCAATGACTGGGTCCCTGCCGTGCTGGGTGTCGGCACGTACTGCATCAGCGGGTAGTCTGGTGGAGGGAGGACTGCTGGCTGGTGTGGCGCTGGAGGCAAGTGGGCAGAGGAAACGGAAGTCGTCTTTGAGAGCATCGCTGGCTGGTTGGTCGCACGCAGGTTGAGGAGGCGTTCTTGAGCGCGGATAAAGTCACGCACCGTCTTAATGTTTATCTTTGGCAGCGGAAAGCCTGCTTTAGACAAGACGGGATCGTCCACCAAAACCCGGTGCTGGATCCTCTCGTACGCCTTCAAGATAGTGGTCTTCTCAGGGCTAGTGCGAGAACCCTGTGGTGACTTCAACCACAGCAGTTTCACCAGCGTGTTCATAAGCCTGTTGTTCATTGCACTAATGTCCTGTTGTGCTGGTGCGTAGCGAATGCCCATCTTCACGCGCTGTATCACAGCAGCATCAACAAGGTTGTGCCGTTTAGTGCGGCAGTACAGGGTGTTGCCCCAGTGCGTTCTGTACAGCTGGTTGAACTTCTGCTGCTGTTTGTCGTGGTCCTCCACTGCATTCCAGGCAGCCAGGATCGCGTTCCTCTGCTCGGTGACAAGGGACAGCTTGTCATCTGAGCTTGGGAAATGCTTATCTGCAACCTGGAATAACATGTAGGACAATTTTGAAGCGTACCATATTTGTATGCATAGGCCAATTGAAAGGATTAATGTTCATATTTGACATGTTCTATTTCAAGAGGATTCATTTGCTTTTAATTCTAACTGCTTTCCAGTTCCTACGCTTTTTGAAATTGTGCTTTTATTGCTTTTTATTATTAGACGTGTATATTATTGTTATTATTAATGAAAGCGACTACACTTGTGTACCTGGGATCATGTGACCCATTTGAGACCCATTTGAGACCCATTGAGATAACTAACTAAAAGTTAACTATCTAAACACTGAGAGAGTCCTTTACCTCACTGAGCTGACGTTATCTGACAGGAGAGGACTTTCCTTTCACTTCTTAGGCTAATATCCGTTAACTCTCTCTCTCTCTCTCTCTCTCTCTCTCTCTCTCTCTCTCTCTCTCTCTCTCTCTCTCTCTCTCTCTCTCTCTCTCTCTCTCTCTCTCTCTCTCTCTCTCTCTCTCTCTCTCTCTCTCTCTCTCTCTCTCTCTCTCTCTCTCTCTCTCTCTCTCGCTCACTCCTGCGCTCTTGCCACACACACGGAGCCGAGCTTGAATGAAACACCCAGAAGTCGGCTACTTGTACTGTACTGTACATATCATTTTCGAATCAATCATTTTTCAAATTATGAATTTCACATATATAAAAAAAAAACATACATTTCTTGGGGTTGCTTAGCAGTTGCTAGGCCAATTGTTGGTGTTGCTGTAGCAACTGCAAGCTCCCGCCTGGCGCCGCCCCTGGTCTCAGATATATACAAAACATGCTTTTGTAGATGTGTTTTCAAGGCCCGACCATAAAGGGCCTGACCTGTTCTTATATATTTACAGAAAATGTAGTAGGAGAACTTCTGCAGTGTGTATTTGAATATAGCGTATGTATTTAAAATATGTAATCTTTTGGCAGGTTGCAGAGGATGCCTGAGGAAGGAAGCTGCTCTGTAGTCTGGATGTTCAGCTTGGATACTCCTGTACTGCTTTCCAAACATCAGTGTTGTGAACAGGCTGCTGCTGGGGCATATATATTGTCTTAAATATCCTTCAGGCTCCTCTTCTCACCAATCTTATACTGACACTCTGCAGAGCAACCCGTCTGCGATGTGCACATCACATGCCAGTTTGTAATGTTTCCAGTGAGGATGTTTTCTATTGCTTTTATAAGAACGTTTAAAAGAAACTCATGGAAATTGTGCCTTCTTAAAAAAGATCACTAAGTATGCTCATGTTCAGGTAACTACTTGTATTATGGGTTTCTACTAGAACATGTTTACAAGCTTTAATATTTTATTTAATATTTGTATTCATCCTTTGTCTGAAATGCTCCATTTGAACTCTACAGTTACCCAAATGTGTCAGCACAAACACTAATACGTGTTGGTTTTTTCTGTAAAAAGTCCCCTCTAAGTTTGTTAGAAAACACAGCGGTTTCTGAGGGTGTTTTTCACACGGCAGGAGATGAGTGATGACCAGCTTCTATGTTCCTCTATCTCATAAACAGGTGGGAAATATAACTAGCAGAATGTACTGGTCATAATAAGTGTGGTTTATTCACTGACATT